AACTGGTCTAGGTTTCAAAACACACTGTCAGAAAGAAACAGAGACCGAGAGAGCTCCCTTATGCTGATTCATTTCCCAAATACCCATAATAATTGAGACTGGGCAGGCGCCAAAGATGGGAGAGAGAAATGTAATCTAGATCTCCCAATAGTGAGACATGAACCTAATTACTTGAGCCATCACCACTGCTTCAAAAGACCTGCATTAGCAGGGAGCTGAAGTCAGGCACTGGAGCCTGGAGCCCAGGTAGGCAGATGGGGGTTGCTGATGTCAAACACGGCCTGTGGACTCAGAACTCTTCACCCTTTGACTTCTGTGTCTCTGTGGCAATGAGAACAGTCTGGCCCCACTCATGCACCACCACCACCACCTACGTTTCAATCTCAGGTCCACCATCTAGTAGCAAATACCAGGCAAGGTAGTGTAGCCTCTGTGTGTCCAAGAACCTGTGTGTACAAAAAGGGAGCTGTTATGGAAATAAATGGGCTAAATAGTATAGGAACTCTGTTGCTTGTGGTTTTTTTTTTTTTTTTTCTCTTTTTTTCTTCCAGGTTTAGAAAGACTGAAATAATAGAAAATGTGGTTATGTATCTTGGAAAAAACCTGCTTGTCTTCTAGGCCCTTCATGGCCCTGTGTCAAGACCTGTCATCACCCTTGTTCATCAAGCCTATTAGTAGTATTTTCCTTAATGTATGGTTTTCAGTATTACAAGCTTGGGAATTTTTCAGAGTCAACAGAATATCGTAATTCTAGTTAATATGACATGAGGTCACAGAAAAAAAATAAGAATCTGTGCAGAAAGTAATTGCTTTGAGATCACAGTGACATCTGAAGGGTGTGGCTGAACGTCACTGAAGATGACCTCACTGATGTGATCAGTTCCTGGCCCCCGATCTCCCTCTGAGGCTTCAGTTCTTTTGGGCATCCTCTGCAAGAAGCTGAGAAAGTATAGTCTGCCCTTCTTTCCTATTGGAACCCTCCTCTACTTAAATTACTAAGACGACCAAGGCACTCCTTTCTCCCTTGCATCCCTCTCAGATATGGCCGGAGGGTCTTCAGCTGAGCCTTCCCTGGACCAGTGAACGTCTTTGACTTTCTAATCTGTGCCAAATGTATTTGACGTTCTAGTTTCATTTCAAGACTTTGCAATTTTGTTTCTAATTGATGACTCTCTCACCATTAAGGAAAGGATAAGGATTCTTATTTCAGTTTCATCTTTTATCTATCTTATGTTGGATTTCTGAGCCAATTCTGGCTTAATTGATTATGCATTCTGTACCTTGATTTAACATTGTGGCTCTTCTTTTATTAAACCAGTTCCTTCAAAATGCTTCTTCATAAAAATATGTTGCACTAACTTATCTCAATTGTAACCTGTAATTTTAATAATTTATTTCGTACTTAGATGAAAGATAGTCTTTTTTGTGTGTTTTCTCTCCAAGTTGCTATGTTTCATATCACTATTAATCTATTTTATTGATGCATTTTCTTCATTATTTGTTAAAGGGAATGCATTCTAGTCCTCTAACTGATGACATATTTAGGAAATTTATGCTGTTGTTTGCTATATTGATTTTTGTATTTCTTCTTTTGTGCTCAACTGGGTAATTTTAAAAAATTATATTCTTACATTCCCCAATACTATAGTGTGATATCCTGTTCCAAGAAACACTAACTCAGCTGATATATGTATTCCATGAGCACTATTTTTTTTCCTGATTATTCTCTACTCTTCAGGTAAACCATATCACTAAATATATTGTATGAATCCTTTGTTTTTGTCAATATCACATAAGCACATTTTCAAAATACTTGTATATTGCAAAATGATATAAATTTTTCTGTCTCAGAATTTGCTTTTTGTTAACACTAGAAGCTTAAAGTGATAAAATTCCCTATGCCCAATGTGTTTTTTTTTCCTATAGTGAGTTTTCTAGGTTTTTTAAATTCATTTCCTTGTGAAATATGCACATATACACCTTTATGAAGGAAAATGCCAAAAATGCAATGAAATCAGATGAAACAAATCTGACAATTGCCATCTGACTCTTGGAAAGCCCAGCTGGCTATATTAGACTCATCCCGGTCACTCACTGATCACAAGTTTTATCTGTTTTTTAGGCATTCATCTGAAAAGTTACAGACTAGGGTTGGGCAAAGTGGATTTAAATCTGACAGCTATGTGGAGCCTCTGTCCAGTCTTCAAATATTCTGCATGTTCATGTCTTCTACTTAAGTGTGAATAAAAGAGCTCAGACTCTAAGTATCAGACAGCATTTTGTTCATTATGCACTTTTTATATGTATAATAACATGTTACCCAGAGAAGTCCAGATTCATGCAATTAGCTGCATCTGTGATGTAATCTCAATTCTGAAATTTATCATATTTTTTACATTTGAAATGTATATGGGAATGTCCCATCTTTTAAAGTGATACATATTGGGAACAATAATGGTTTACACTTCTAATATTTTACCATCATATAATATGATCTTCCTTGGAGACTTTATAATTCATTCGAGAAGGTAGCACAGCTGTAAAAATATTACATCTGCAGCACTATGAAGTTTAAGTTGAACTGGGGGAAATATTCAATTAATCAATGCATTTATGACCACATGTGTTCTGTGCAAAATGTTGCCCACAAACAAAGGGGAAAGCAAATGACAAAGCCACAACAGAAATAATTGGTGGAGTTTTGTGACTCTGTTGACCTTTCCCTAGATAGATATTTCCTTCTTTGATGCCAAGATTGGAGTAATGGCTGTACTCTTACACATGCTTTTTGTTTCCCTTGAGTAAGACCCTGTTTTGTGAAAATCCTTATTTTGTTCTTGAAAGCCAAATGCAAGTGAGATAAAGCCAATTGTGCCCTGATCATCTGACTTTTTTTTTTTTTTTTGACAGGCAGAGTGGACAATGAGAGAGAGAGAGACAGAGAGAAAGGTCTTCCTTTTCCGTTGGTTCACCCCGCAATGGCCACTGTGGCCGGCGCACTGTGCTGATCTGAAGCCAGGAGCCAGGTGCTTCCTTCTGGTCTCCCATGCAGGTGCAGGGCCCAAGGACCTGTGCCATCCGCCACTGCACTCCCGGGCCACAGCAGAGAGCTGGACTGGAAGAGGAATAACCGGGACAGAATCTGGCGCCCTGACTGGGACTAGACCCTGTTGTGCCAGCACCACAGAGGATTAGCCCATTAAGCTGTGGTGCTGGCCAATCATCTGACTTTGATGCTTTCCATTAACAGGTGTTACATCTCTTTCCCCCAGAATCCCAGTAGACAGCCAGATTCTGCTCAGTGAGTTCCTGCTCGCCTGTGTTCAATGCACTGAGCACTGTCTTCTTTAGAAATTTTACCATAAGTTGTATCTTTATTAATGTCTTCTTATGCATTCTTGAATTTGGGAGATGTTTGTCACTAGAACAACTCAATACTGAGTTAACCATAGCAGCAAGCATTTATTTTGAGTCTGTGCAGATAATACAAATGATATAAAAAAGAAACAGAGTCTTTTCTTCCAGAAAGAAAGTTTTTGAATACATATTATTTAAGTTGCCTCAATCTTCAACTATTGTCTCTGATCCTTAGTGATTCAAAAAAAGAAGCATTGATTAGTAATACATCGTTTTAAACAAAGTTCTTAGTGGAAGGATAATCTAAGCCACTTTTATAACTCCTATTTAACTAGTTTTCTTATATTGCTGTAATCAATGAGACAGAAAATTCTGGAATAAGAAATACCCAGAGGACATGAAACTAAATAGATGTAAGAATTAAGGGACATAGAGGATAATAATGGACTTGTATCTGATGATGCAATCTGTGAAATCTCTCTACTCAGAAGCAAAAGGCTTCCCCTACTTTTATTTGCAATAGAGTTGACTATATTTTTTTCACTAGAAGTATCTTAGCGACTGGCTCTCTGGCACAGTAGGTGAAAGCATCTGCCTGCGGTACCGGCATCCCCTGTGAGCACCGGTTCGAGTCCCGGCTGCTCCTTTTCTGATCCAGCTCTCAGCTGATGGCCTGGGAAAGCAGTAGATGATGGCCCAAGTACCTGGGCTCTTGAACCCATGTGGGAGACTGGGAAGAAGCTCCTTGCTCCTGACTTTTGATTGGCCCAGCTTCTGCCATTGTAGCCATTTGGAGAGTGAACAAGCAAATGGAAGATATCTCTCTCTCTCTCTCTGTACCACTGCCTCTCAAGTAAATAAGTACATCCTTTAAAAAAATAAAGAAGTATTTTATTGACTTTCAAGGGAAGGTGGAGAATGTTATACCAAGCTTAACGAAATTGCTGAACATCAAATCAGAGGTACATGAATATTTTCCTATTTGTTTCTCTAGAACAGAAATAAACATATAAAACCTAAATATTTCTATTAAACGAATTATTAGGCATTATATATATGTAAAAATCTTGTTTAATACATAGATATGCAATATAATTAATTGTGGCTATTTATGTGTGATAAAAATATACTTTGTTATGTAGAATAATTTCATTAGCAATATTTTTTATTGAATTACACGATTACATTCAGTTAAAAGTTAAAATAAAAATCACTTTTTAAAATAAAGGTACATCAGTGGACTTTAAAAATATCTTTATCTTGAGGAAACTGTGAAAAGAAAAAGGAAAGATTATTTCTTTTATTTCAGTCCAGGTAATTAGTGATATAAGAAGCTGAAATGAAAGTAAGCAAGAAGATGGACATTGGCTTACACATTACAAAGAAAAATATCTGATTTAAAACTCTATGTTAAGAAATCATAAAATGATGACTGGGAAGATTACATTTTTGCATTTCTTGTTGATACAGATAAGCAATATAATTAAATATACAGTATAATTAAAGATATTAAAATAATTAGATAAGATTATTATATCACTCAGATAACTATTTTACCTATAGCTCAGATTATAAGTAATTATCTTCTTAAATTATATTATAAATTGATTTTATTTCAGATGATACAAATTTGGTGTGTTCCATCAGTTCATCTTATGCAGTAAATGCTTACAATTAAAATGTCTAATGCTAGCTTTTGGTCAGAAAATGATAAGCATTACATGCTTCTGTTCCTTGAGTGAGTATAGTTAAAGAATAGAATAAACCTAGGCGTGGAATTCCAGTGCTCCTACATGCTCCCACTTGCATTTTTGTCTCTCACAGGTGTTCCTTTCAAATAGGATATTTTACTATACCATGTAATAAAGGGGCATGTTGACAAAGAAATAACAACTGAGGACAAAAGCTAAACTAGACTCCTTCTTTTTGATTCCAATACAAATTATTTGTAGAATTTACATTTTCATTTACCCGAGGACTTGAAAGGTGGCATATGTGTAAAATCATCAATGTCCACTGCTTACCAGCCAGAGTAGATACATTCTCAGAAAAATCAGTGGTGTTGTCTACAATAGCCTGCTTTCCACTTATGGGTTTCTCTGTATAACACTATAAATCCATTTGCTCATCCAGAGAATCTGGTTTAGTTATTGACTATATAATTTTCAAGATCACAGCAACTACAGATGGGACTGAAAACAGAAAAGGAATGGAATTCAGGGAGTTCATCCATTGAGGAAGTACAATCTTAATTGAGTTTTTTCCTGATGTGGAAAAATTCAAGGGCAAACTTATAAGATGGAAGCACACTCTATAAGCTCCCTTGTATTGATATGCAGATGTCAAATGTGAAATCTCTTCCAAAGATTTCTCTTCGTTCAGGTGTGATTAAAACACTGGTTAAGATGCCCACATCCCAGATCACAGTACCTGGGTCTAAAGCTTGTCCCCTGCTCCTTACTCCAGCTTCTTGTTTGTGCAGACTCTGGTACACAATGGTAATAGCTAAAGTGATTGGGTTGTTGTTACCGGTTGCAGAGGGGAAGGGGGTTGCTGGAGCAAGTTCTGTGGGTTCTTTTTCTCAGCTCAGTATATAAATAAAAATCTGGGAAACAAAATGCAAAGAAGCAGAAATGTTTATTTGATTGGCAAGCAACAGAAAAGCATCTGGTCCAAGAGGAGACCAGATGGAGTGCTCGAATGGAACAGTGGTTTTCAGGAGGTGCCTAGGGTTTTTTTAAGGCATTACCATCATTTCATTGGGTCATTCTATGAGGGTGTCCATTGGATAGGGGGTTTCTGGCTTGAGGCTCATGGAGACAGCAGGAATCTTTTTGAGATAGCCCATTTCTCTTTGGGGGCTCATCCCCTTCTTCTGCTAGCCCTGGATAGAAGATTGCAACTAACTTTAAGATGTGATTTAAAACTGCAAGGAAACATATGCGGCACAAGAAGCTAGAGTGGGAAAGATGCTGGCACATCTGGAAACAAGCTTTTCAGCCATAGCTGGCAGCATGCTTGTGACAGACATTCTGCCTATGTCTGAGGGGGCCACACCCCACTGGATGGCATCAGGTTTGTGCCACCCTGGTGTGACACCAGGATTGGGATGCTGGCTCCTGGCTTCACCATCAGCCCAACCCTGGCTGTTGCGGACATTTGGGAAGTGAACCAGCAGAGCTCCCTTGTCAGTCTTTCAGTCTGTTTTTCTGCCTTTCAATATCAATATTGAGAGTAAATAAATATGAATTTTAGAAGAGATTTCTCTTCTTTTTTGGTTCATAGTTTGGCCATAGCATTTAAAAATTGCAGTAGAACATAAAGAAATTGTGGATTTGTTATATTTTATTTTTTTAAGATTTATTTATTTGAAAGTCATAGTTACACATAGAGAGAAAGAGACAGAGAGAGAGGTCTTCCATCCACTGGTTCACTCCCCAACTGGCCGCAAGGGCTGGAGCTGCACCCATCCAAAGGCAGAAGCCAGAGCTTCTTCTGGTTCTCCCATGCAGGTGCAGGGGCCCAAGGACTTGGGGCATCTTCTACTGCTTTCCCAGGCCATAGCAGAAAGCTGGATCAGAAGTGGTGCAGCCAGGACTAGAACTGACGCCCATATGGGATGCCAGCACTGCAGGTGGCAGTTTTACCTGCTATAACACAGCACCACCCCTGATTTGTCATATTTTAGATATAGATGTATGATATTTTAAATTGCAGTAATCAAGTGTTAGGAATTATTATATAAGGATCATATTATACTTTGGGAAACTGGGGCAGGCATTTCAAAGAAATTCTAAGAATCAGTGAGCAGCCATGCCATGCACCTATACTTTGAATGTCCCTTGTCCTCAACAATGGTAGTCATACTACCTGTTTTTGATGCTATCATTAAGTTGCAAATATACTCAACTATGTGCATTTTAACTAACATTTTGTCAGCTAGGAAAATTTCTCATATGAGAAAGGTTATGGTTAGTTTAGACAATTACGCTTTATCAGATTTTCACTGGCCAAAAGTAGTCTTTCTCTGTATCTTTTAAATGATAGAGATTCCTATATAATTGTCCATTCCCCAGCCTATTAGATGAGTTTGTTTCCTGCTGCCATTGCTATGATCTTAAAAAAATTCTTTAATTTTTAGGTAGCTTTTCTAAATCAAGTTTCATAATAAAACACTGAGGTTTGATAGGACTTGCATATAATTCACAGACTAATTTAGGCAAAATGTGTATCTCCCTACTACTGGAATTCTCCACTGATGAATATAGCATATTTCCACTTGCACATAGCTTGTCGTGAATCTTGAGTCACAGTTTTATAATTTTCTAAATGCACATATGTATTCCAGGCACTTATAACCCACATTGCTATATTACACCAGATATTAAAAATACTTTGCTACTATGTGTTTCTATTGTGTAACAGTATTGAATTTTGAATTGTATGTTTTTTCTAAATTCTTGTTGAGAGGGGAAAAAGAGAGAGAGAGAGATGGAGAGAGAGAGAGACAATCTCCCATTTGCTGGTTCACTTCCCCAAATGCCCATAATATCCAGGGCTGGGCCAGGCTGAAGTCAGAAGGCTGGAACTCAATCCGGATCTCCCATATGATTAACAGGAACTCAAGTATTTGAACCACCACTTACTGACACACAGGATGCACATTTTCAGGAAGCTGAAATCAGGAGCAGAGCCAGAATTCTAGCCCAGGCACACTGATATGGGATGGAAATGCCACAACAGCCTCTAAATTTCTGTGCCAAATATCTACACTGGTTTATTTAGTGGTTTGATCAATGGATAAAGGAAAATTTACTTCCTTTTCTTATTTTTTATTTTTTTATTTTATTTTTTTTGACAGGCAGAGTTAGACAGAGAGAGAGGGAGAGAGAGAGACAGAGAGAAAGGTCTTCCTTCCGTTGGCTCACCCCCCAAATGGCGGCTAAGGCCGGCACGCTGCGCCGATCCAAAACCAGGAGCTGGATGCTTCCTTCTGGTCTCCCATGCAGGTGCAGGGCCCAAGCACATGGGCTATCCTCCACTGCCTTCCCAGGCCACAACAGAGAGCTGGCCTGGAAGAGGAGCAACCGGGACAGAATCCGGCGCCCCAACCGGAGTAGAACCTAGGGCGCCAGCACCGCAGGCGGAGGATTAGCCAAGTGAGCTGTGGCGCCGGCCTCGTTTTCTTTCAACCCATAAATATCTCCTTTGTTTATTCTAGACCATGTTACTAACCATGGGTTTCATTGAACTATTAAATAGAAATATCAGGAAATGTTATTTCTTGTCTTTTTAATAAGTTAAAGTAACTGTGTTTCTCATTGTTAAGTAGGATGCTTGAGCAGATTTTGGGTAGGAACCATTACCTACTTAAGGCAATTTGATTTTAGTAGTTAATCCCTTTTTGCATAATAGAGCATTTGAGTTTAATGCTAACATCTTCTGTGGGTTTTCTGTTACTTTAATTTGTTAACAAAATTACTCAGAAATTCAGATTTTCCATTTTGAAAGTTGCCTATTAAATGCTATCTCAGTTACACTTGGTCATGGTGATTTTCCTGTTGGTGATGGTGATTGCATGGTCAGGTAAAATGCCTTTATATTTGTGTATTTATGATGATCTTTCATTAATTCATAGATCATGTTCTTGTGCTAATTATCTGGATTGTGTTGTGACTGACAAAATATGTTCTGACTCCATAGTCATGTGGAAAATGCTGTCCTTGATTTTCTATGGGTCTGCCATTCATTTTGCCCAGGGATGGCAAATATTTTCTGTAAGGGTCCATGAGTAAATATTTTAGGCTGTGAAGGCTGTGCAGTCTCATTCCTGTCTTAAGTGTGCAAGTCACTAAGGCAATTATAAAACACTTCTTGAGGAATGAGAACAAATAACAAAATATCAAAATTAGGAGATACAGTAAAATTAGTAAAGTAGTGCCCAAAAGCCAAGTATGGCACTCAAATAATTAATCTAATTTTACAGTATAATGAGTGAGATAAAGGAAATTAAATCAAAGAAAAGCAAGGGAAATGAAAAAATAAAACTAATGTACAAATAAACAAAACAGAAAGTAGAAAACTAATAGATTCAACAAACCCTAAATTGATTCTTTAAAAAAATTAAAATAAAGAAAAAGAAAAAAGGAGGAGAAAGGTTTGGAGCATGGGATGGAGGGTAGGGTGGGAAGTATCATTGTGCTTGTAATCTGTATGTAATACTTGAAATTTGTTCATTTTAGAAAAATAAAAAATACTAAAAAATAAAAAGAACAGTTACTAAAAATCAACAAAGTTTATAAGCCCTTAGCAAGACCAATTAAGAAAAATTGGAGAAGACACAATAAGTACAAAAAGAAATGACAGCAGGAGGGCTAGCCTTGAAGTGCAACAGGTTAAGCAGTCACTGGCAAAAAGGGCATCTCACATTGGAGTACTGGTTCAGTCTGATGCTCAGATGCTCTGCTTCTAATTCAGCTTCCTGCTAATGCACCTGAAAAGCAGTAGAAGTTGACCTGATGATTTGGGTCCAAGCCCTAGCCAGTGCAGCCATTTGGGAAGTTGATAGAAGATTCTCTCTCTCTCTCTCTTTCTCTCCCTTTCAAATAAATAAATAAATAAATAAATAAGCATTTTAAAAAGAAAGGAAAGCAGGGACATTATGATTGATCTTACTGAAACTGAAAAGATTATAAGACTATTATGACAAATAGTATTAAAAATTAGATCATCCATACAAAATAGAAAAATTCCTAGAAAGATACAAACTATGAATTCGTAAAGAAATAGAAAATGTAAACAGGCCTATAAACAGTAAAGCAATAGAACAAGAAAGCAAACAATTCCTAACAAGAAAATTCTTTGGTCAAGTAGCTTTCCTATCTGGTGAATTCTACCAAACATTCAAGAATCCATGCAAATCCTACTTAAATTCTTCCATTAGAAGAATGGGGGAAGGCACTTTCTAACCTATTCAATGAGGCTAGCATTACCCTGACAGCAAACAAAGATTCCTCAAGAAAATAAAAATATAATCAATATCCATGATCAATATAGACACAAGGGCTCTCAACAAAGTAATCTTTCAACTTCCTGCTATTGCACATCCTAGGAGGCAACATGCAATGTCTAAGTATTTAGATTCCCACCACTCATGTAGGAGACCTGGATTGAGTTCTTGGTTCCTGACTTTTGAGGAATGAACCAGGGGACAGAAACCTCTCTCTCTCTCTCTTTCTTTTTCTTTCTCTTTCTTTCCCTATCCCTATCCCTATGCTTATCCCTATCCCTATCCTTATGCTTATCCCTATCCCTATCTCTAACCCTAGCCCTAGCCCTATCCCTAGCCCTAACCCTAGCCCTAGCCCTAGCCCTAGCCCTAGCCCTAGCCCTAACCCTAGCCCTAGCCCTAGTCCTAGCCCTAGCTCTATCCCTATCCCTATCCCTATCCCTACCCCATCCCTATCCCTATCCTTATCTCTACCTCTACCTCTACATCTATCTCCTTTTACTTTTCAAGTGAATTAAGTAATGAAAATTTTAAAAATAAAAATTGGAAAATGAATAATTGGCAATTATCTCTACAAAAGTTACTTCCTGTAATTGCTCAGGCTATGTGACATCACATTCATTCCTACCTTAACTCATCTTCAAACAGAGCCTAATACAATTTGAGTGATATTCCAACAATATTTATAACTACAATTTGCTTTTATAATGTATTCACAACATATTGTCAGCTTTTCAGTGCCAGAGCTGAGCAAAATCATTAGAAATATTCTAAGTATTTTTAGCTAATATTAAATTTTATTGATCTTGATAAAAAATAGTATCATTACTCATTGAGTCTATGTTATTCATTTTATGAAAACTGACACCTAGCTTGCCCTCAGTGTTTATAAATCTTCATTAGCCTCAAATTCAAAAAGTATTAAGCTCTTTTGTACAAAAGATCAATATCTATTTCTTATAAACCAAAGAGCTGAATGAGTAAAATAATTTTGTATCATTTCAATTGCTTTCTCTATTATAATATACTAGAAAGATGGGCCTTGTATATTTGCATATAAATGAACTACAGAGTTTCAGACAACTCTGAGTCTGTTACAAAAGCAGAAGTGAAAGGAAAGCAGGTAAATTCTAGCAAATTTACCTTCACAGACCTCAGACCTTATCACTCCTATGATAAACAACGTAGTCGTCTTCAAACCTGTGAAACAAGCACGCAACAACTGGCTTATCAACAGTAGGATGTCCGAAAAATAGAGACACTGGTGAAATTTGTCAATACAAACTTAACTTTTTTTTACTCTAAAGGAAAAGATTTGTGTTGGCTATTAAAATACAGTGGTGGCTTCAAATCTTAGTCTTAAATTACTGCTTGTATCTGGTTGTAAAAGCACATTTTTTTTCATAAAAGATTTATTCATTTGTTTGAAAGTCAGAGTTAGAGACAGGGAGAGAGAGAGAGAGATCTTCCCTCTGCTGGTTTATCCCCAAATGGCCCAAACAGCCTGGCCTGGGCCAAGCCAAATACAGAAGTCTGGAACTCCATCCTTGTCTTCTATATGGGAGTAGGGGCACAGGCTTCAGGCCCATCTTCTGCTGCCTTACCAGAGACCTTAGTAGGGAGCCAGACAGGAAGTGGACTCAAACCAAGGCTCATAAGGGTTGCCAGCCTTGCAAGCAGGAACTTAACCCACTGTGCCACAATGCCGTCTCTGGTGAGAGCAGATTATTTGCATAAAAGGGAACATGAAGATGGAAGAAAAAATAATTCAGCAGTACGTTATTAATTTAATTTTTAAACTTTTATTTAATAAATATAAATTTTGAAAGTACAACTCTTAGATTACAGCTGTTTTTCTCCCTATAACCATCCTCCCACCCGCAACCATCCCATCTCCCACTCCCTTTCCCATACCATTCTTCATTAAGATTCATTTTTAATTATCTTTATATACAGAAGATCAACTTAGTATATACTAAGTAGAGATTTCAACAAGTTGCACCCACACAGAAACATAAAGTATAAAGTACAGTTTGAATACTAGTTTTACCATTAATTCGCATAGTACAACACATTAAGGACAGAGATCCTCCCTGGGGAGTAAGTGCACAGTGACTCTCCTTGTTGATTTAACAATTGACACTTTTATTTATGACGTCACTATTCACCCGAGGCTCTTGTCATGAGCTGCCAAGGCTATGGAAGCCTCTTGAGTTTACAAACTCTGAGCTTAAATAATTTTAATGCTAAGTCTTTCAGCAGGTAATAATTGGTATCTAAACCATTGGAGTATAATAGAGACCTAGATGATTCACTTTCTAAGAAGATAAACAGAATAAGAAGTCATGGAGATATTTAAATGACTACTATGTATTTGTATATTTGCTAACTATAATGGGAAACTAAAAGTTTCCAATGTCTTTCTTGGCCTAAAATAATTGAAATTGTTTTGGTTAAATAACTTCAGGGCTTACTAGATAATATGACTTAATTCTATATTTCTGGATTGAATTTTCATGTGTCTAATATCAATACATACAGGTAACAGAGGATAGAGAATTTGGCTGTGGATAAAAGAATAACCATTGTATGTTGCTTGATTACTTTCAGTCTGAATTGCATTACAAGGAGGGTAGAGTAGGGGGAGGCATGGAGGCTACACTGAGATCTACAGGAGAAAGTGAAACATACTCCATCAATATATATATATAGGAACTTATAAAGACATAGTCAAGCAGTAGTTATTACTTAAGGAAATTTGAACTAGATATTATGTCACAGAAATTGTCACAGAATTGAAAATTTGGGACTTGATTGGTAAAGAACATCTCTTTTGTATTTAAATTTTATTATGCCACCAAAAAGCATGCTAATGGCATAAAGTTGTGAAAATTAGAAATACAAGTAGTAATTTAAAAAAGCACTCAGTCACATCATAAATAGCCAATATGTATGTTAACAGGTATGTTTTCCTAATGGTCTTTTCACTTATTTACAAAATCAGAATCACATGTCTGTGGAGAGAGACGTGAATGATCATGGGCATTTTCACACGTAACTAAATATTTTTGAAATCATCAGTTTTCATTTGAAAGTTTCATTCAGTTGCCTGATTTTAACACAAGTTTCCTGTCCTTCATCTCCTGCTCTCTCTCCATCTGCCTCTCTGCCGTCCTCAATCCCTCCCTCTCCTTCCTGCTCCCATTTCCCTTCCTTTTTCCATGTTTTCTCTGCCTGCCTTCCTTCCATCTTGCCTTCCTTCCAATCCTCCTACCATTCCTTTTAATATGAAAAAGATTATTCTCCAATATATTTTTTGCAGTTATTTGGAAAATCTTTGGAGAATAATTACTGGGCACAACATGTGCACTAGAGAAAAGCTTAAGAAAACGAGGAGAACACATGTATGATGAATCTGAGTGCAGATCTCGCTCGAATTTGGAGGATGAACTTAGGTCTGGAAATCAACAAACTGGGGAGAAATTCCTTCTTGGTTTTACTTCTTTATTCTCATATCTGGATTTTCTCTTGCATATTTTTTTCTTCCTCACTTAGTGCCAGGCTTTTAGTATTTTAAGTTGAGTCTAGGTATGGCTACATAAAGAAAATCATTATGATGGACCAAACAAAAATTAAATGAAATAATAATTTAAAACCTCCACTAAGCCCATAGAACCCAGGCTAAAAATGTGCCAGAGCAGTACTTATGGACTGTGCAGTATTCTTTAGTTTCCAGCACGTAGACAGATTATAGAAATGAAACACTTTATATGTTTTCTTGTTTTTTGATTCTATTTTTATAATGGCAACTTGTCTTATGATCCTTCTTTAGAACACTTAAAATGAAATATCAAATCTTCCAACAGAAAATAAATGTGAGAAAGTAACAAATTATGGGTAAATGTTGAGAATAGTGCAAAAGTGCCCCCTATAAGTATCTGATACTATCTCCAGGAATAGTGCTTTGAAGTTTGAGTTCACTAATTTTCTTTCTTTCTGACACTGATAATCTCGCTTTAGTTCTTACATTTGTACTGCTTTCTACTGAACAGAAATCTTAGCACTACTAACCTTGTTTCTTTGCTAATATAACAAAAAAAATGTAACTTTCCTCTGTGCAGGGCTGTGTTGGACATCTGGGTCATACAAATGGCAAACAAGAAGATAAAAGAAATAGAATTCAGCCATAAATGAACTTATCTTTTGAAAAAAAATAAAACCAGTCTACAGCCAGAATTTTATTCAAACACCTTACTGCTTCAAATTGTTCTCAGAATCCATCCCAAGTCTCCAGGCATTGTAGCAGAGAGCCCTGCAGGGCTGAGACCCTGCTTCTGTCTCCATCTTCTTAAGATTTTTTACACTTTACAATTTCCGTCCTAGATCAAAAGAATGCTTATATTTTCCCAAACCTTTTGTCCTATTTCATGCCTTTTTGCTCTTCATCTTACTTGCCCAGAAACTCACTTTCCACTTTTTGAAAAAGATCCTACTAGTGTGATAATCCCATCGGATAAGGGATTTTCTCCTGCAGGCAGCCTTTGTTCAATCCCAGATTCAGACAGTATTGCCCTCCTGTGTTCCCTTCATGCATGTAGCTGTCTTAGCACAATTAAGTGAATGTTCACCAGCATTTCTGCTAATGCCCTATACTGAAGTTCCCCGAGGACCAGACTCATTCCTTCTTCATGTCTGTGCTCCCAAACTGTAGCTCAGGGGTCGGCCAACCATGTTTATAAATGGCCAGATAGCATGTATTTTAGGCTTTGTGGGCCCAGGTGACCTTTATCGCTACCACTCAGCTCTGCTTTTGTAGCATCGAAGCAGCATAAGACAGTAAAACAATGAATGGGGCAGACCCTGGGACACACAAGTAAAGCTACTTCCTACCATGCACAAACTATATCAGAGTGCCGAGTTCCAGTCCTGGATACTTCGCTTCTGATACAGCTTCCTGCTAAAGCGTCCTGGGTCCCTGCCCCACACGTAAGAGACCCTGATGGAGTTCTGGGCTCCCAACTTCACCCTGGTTCAGCCCCAGTTGTTGCAGGCATTTGGAGAGTGAAACAGCAGATAGAAGATCTCTCTCTATCTCTCTCTATCCCTTTGCCTTTTAAGTAGATCAAAAATAAAAATTAGTATATAAAAAATAAATGACCACGGTTATGTGTCAATAAAACTTTATTTTCAATGGACATCAAGTCACATGATTACTTAGCTTTTAGTTGTAAGTTTGTGACTCCTGTTTTAATAAAAATATAATGTCAAATAAATATTTGTGGAGTAAGTGATGATTAATTAATCCATTACTTGTTCTTGTGCTTAAACTCTAAATAAGGGGCCAGCATTGTGGCCCCCCAGTGACGTCAGCATCTCACATAACAACAGTTCATGACCCAGCTGCTCCACTTCAGATCCAGCTCCATGCTAATGACCTGGAAAAAGCAGCAGAAGATGGCTCAAGTGTTTGGGCTCCCACCACCCATGTGGGAGACTTGGATGAAGCTTCTAGCTCCTGGCTTGTGCCTGGCCCAGCACTGGTCACTGCAGCCATCTGGTGAGTGAATGAATGAATGGAAGATCTGTTTGTCTCTGTGTCTCTCCCTCTATCTCTGACTTTCACAATAAATTAGTATTTTTAAAAGGAATTGGGTAAACTGCTCAATACTCTGTTTCACCTGGAGAAGGCCCTGTATTACATCTTGTTCCCACATATTGGTGTCTTGTTGATAATCCTGGAGAAGTGTTTGGAGCAGTTTTATGAGTTTCTTAATATCTTCCGCCTGTATGACAGTGTTCTCCGCCATCTAGCTATCTTTTTGTTGACCCTCAGCTTATTTGTTATAAAACCCATCATCTCTTTATTGCCAGTAATTTGCACTGTCCTGCAATGTTTTGGCAACAATGACTTATTTCCTCTGTGCTAGGCAATGTGAAGCAGACTTGGTCTCCCCACACCCTGCTCCTAAAGACTATGCTTGTCAGATGGAATTACAATCAGGTGCAAGGAATGAAAAGCTTATTTCATTAACTTAAAACATCAGGGAATTTGTTTTTTTTTTTTTTTTCGTTATCAATACCAATCTAGAATTCATGGAGGCTTCAAGATTATTCTTGTGCAAAAGGTTTTGAAATTCATGCATAGTTTTTTTAATAATACACCATTTCCATGAACTTTTTGAAGACCTGTTTATTCTGTTTTAGCTCCCTTAGACAAGACCTTTGTTCTTTTCACAAGGTGTTGGATATCCTGACATCACACCCACATGTCTGAGAAGACAAAGAGAAAGAAACGAATACTTCAGTTGATCTCTTTAACCATTCCTACTGAAAGGGCAGACTGACTAATACTAATGGCACTGTACAATTTCTATAGTAGAAGATAACAAATGGCAGATTCAAGTGTATATTGAGTGAAGTTATCTGTACCATGTGCCACAATATGCTACCTCTATAAATTGCACTGTGGGGCTGAAGTGTTTTCACATTTGCAAATAAGCTAATAACCCCCAGATATGACCACTTTCAAGATTTTTAAAAATTTACATTTAATGTAAAATACTGTTACCTTGTGTGCAGATGATTGTTTTGTTTACCTAGTTGCACTGTCTTTAACAGCTTCCCTGTAAGATCTCTTGACACTAAAATATTTTTCTCCTATTTAAATATTAGTACATTTTTGCTATAAGATTTTACATGGAGAAAGTATAACATGTTTTATATTTGATATTTCAATGGCAATTTATATTTTCAGAGTACTTTGGAATCACATATCCATTAATCTTATTTGAATATTATATTGACCCACTTTTCCTTTCATTATGAATAAAAAGCTTTTACCAGAGAACTACAGTAATTGAATGTTATAGTTAAGGAGATGAAATATTTCACATTCACTTTTCCATAATGAAATCTCCATGCCTTCATATCTAAAAACTCACACCTAAAGAAAGTAACTTGGTTGTAATTCCACATTTTGTAGATATATTTCATTAGACCTGTCACTAAATATTGTCTGCTTTGTGGTAATAATTATTATTATCAGTATTTCAAAATAATGGGAAAACAGTGGTAGAATATAATGTCATCACATATCTCTGTATTGAAAAATAATATGTTTGAGATAAGTATAGAAAGCTAAAGGGCAAAGGGAAATTGTACTCTATTTTAAGATTAGAACACCACTATTTCTATGACTCTGCACAGATATTTTAGTATTTCTTTCTTAGATATTTTATTTTGGTTCTATAATCTGGCCCATCCTTTTCCTGAGAGCAGCCTTTGGTGAAAATGGTTTGCTACTCACTTGATCCATTTATTTCCTTTTTAGAGATTTTATTTTTCTGCAAAGAAGTTAATTTGGGGTTGGAGCTGTGGTACAGTGGGTTAAAGCCCCGGGCCTGCAGCACCAGCACTCCCATATGGGTGCATGTTCCATTCCCGGCTGCTCCTCTTCTGATCCAGCTCTCTGCTATGGTCTGGGAATGCAGTAGAAGATGAACAAGTCCTTGGGCCCCTGTACACATGCGGGAGACCTGGAAGAAGCTCCTGGCTTCCAACTTCAGATCAGCGCAGCTCTGGCCTTTGTAGCCCTTTGGGGAGTGAACCAGCAGATGGAAGATCTCTCTTTCTGCCTCTACCTCTTTGTAACTCTGCCTTTCAAATAAATAAATCTTTAATGAAAAAGAATGTAACTTTTAGAAAGGACTTTTCACATGGAATGAATATATAAATGCTGTGTAAAATTCCTTATTTTTTTAAATTTTATTTAATAAATATAAATTTCCAAAGTACAATTTTTGGATTATTGTGGCCTTTCCCCCCCATATTCACCCTCCCACCCGCAACCATCCCATCTCCCACTCCCTCTCCCATCTCATTCACTTCAAGATTCATTTTCAATTATCTTTATGTACAGAAGATCAACTTAGTATGTACTAAGTAAAGATTTCAACAGTTTACACCCACACAGAAAGATAAAGTACTGTTTGAGTACTAGTTACACCATTAATTCACATAGTACAACACATTAAGGACAGAGATCCTACATGGGGAGCAGGTGCACAATGACGCTTGTTGATTTAACAATTGAAATCACATGAGGCTCTTGTCATGCGCTGCCAAGGCTATGGAAGCCTCTTGAATTTGCCAATTCTGATCTTATTTAGATAAGGCCATAGTCAAAGTGGAAGTTCTCTCCTCCCTTCAGAGAAAAGTACCTCCTTGTTTGATGGTCCATTCTTTCCACTGGGATCTCACTCACAGAGATCTTTCATTTAGGTCATTTTTTTTTTTTTTTGCCAGAGTGTCTTGGCATTCCATGCCTGAAATACTCTCATGGGCTCTTCAACCAGATCTGACTGCATTAAGGGCTGATTCTGAGGCCAGAGTGCTGTTTAGGACATCTGCCATTCTATGAGTCTGCTATGTATCTCGCTTCCCATGTTGGATCATTTTCTCCTTTTTTATTCTATCGGTTAGTATTAGCAGACACTAGTCTTGTTTATGTGATCCCTTTGACTCTTAGTCCTATCATTATGATCAATTGTGAACTGAAACAGATCACTTTGACTAGTGAGATGGCATTGGTACATGGCACCTTGATGGGATTGAATTGGAATCCCCTGGCATGTTTCTAACTCTACTATTAGGGGTAGGTCTGATTGAGAATGTACCGAACTGTACATCTGCTCCCTCTCTTATTCCCACTCTTATAATTAACAGGCATCACTTTTCAGTTAAATTTAAACACCTAAAAATAATTGTGTGTTAATTAAAGAGTTCAAACAATGGTATTAAGTAGAACAAAAAATACTCAAAGGAATAAAATAATAAGTTGTTCCTCAACAGTCAAGGCAGGGGTTGATCAAGTCATTGTTTCTCATAGTGTCCATTTCACTTTTACAGCTTTCCTTTTAGGTGCTCAGTTGACATAGATCAGGGAGAACATATGATATTTGTCCCTTTGGGACTGGCTTATTTCACTCAGCATGATGTGATCCGGATTCCACCATTTTGTTGCAAATGACCGGATTTTATTTTTTTTCACTGCTGTATAGTATTCTATAGAGTACATATCCCATAATTTCTTTATCCAGTCTACCGTTGATGGGCATTTAGGTTGATTCCATGTCTTAGCTATTGTGAATTGAGCTGCAATAAACATTAAGGTGCAGACAGCCCTTTTATTTGCCAATTTAATTTCCTTTGGGTAAATTCCAAGAAGTGGAATGACTGGGTTGTATGGTAGGGTTATATTCAGATTTCTGAGGAATCTCCAGACTGACTTCCATAGTGCCTTTACCAGCTTGCATTCCCACCAACAGTGGGCTAGTGTCCCTTTTCCCCCACATCCTCACCAGTATCTGTTGTTGGTAGATTTCTGTATATGAGCCATTCTTTTTTTTTTTTTTTTTTGGACAGGCAGAGTGGACAGTGAGAGAGAGAGACAGAGAGAAAGGTCTTCCTTTGCCGTTGGTTTACCCTCCAATGGCCGCCGCGGTTGGTGCGCTGCGGCCGGCGCACCGCGCTGATCCAATGGCAGGAGCCAGGAGCCAGGTGCTTTTCCTGGTTTCCCATGGGGTGCAGGGCCCAAGCACCTGGGCCATCCTCCACTGCACTCCCTGGCCACAGCAGAGAGCTGGCCTGGAAGAGGGGCAACCAGGACAGAATCTGGTGCCCCAACCGGGACTAGAACCCGGTGTGCCGGCGCCGCTAGGCGGAGGATTAGCCTAGAGAGCCGCGGCGCCGGCCTGGTATATGAGCCATTCTAACTGGGGTGAGGTGAAACTTCATTGTGATTTTGATTTGCATTTCCCTGATTGCTAGTGATCCTGAACATTTTATCATGTGTCTGTTGGCCATTTGGATTTCCTCTTTTGAAAATTGTCTATTGAGGACCCTGGCTCATCTCTTAAGTGGGTTGTTTGTTTTGTTGTTGTGGAGTTCCTTTTTTGATCTTAGAAGTTCTTTCTCAGCTGTGGCATTGCCTGTGTATTCAAATGCTGTTGATTTTTGTGCATTGATTTTATATCCTGCTACTTTGCCAAACTCTTCTATGAGTTCCAATAGTCTCTTAGTAGAGTTCTTTGGATCCCCTAAATAGAGAATCATATCATCTGCAAAGAGGGATAGTTTGACTTCTTCCTTCTCAATTTGTATCCCTTTAATTTCTTTTTCTTGCCTAATGGCTCTGGCTAAAACTTCTACTACTATATTGAATAGCAGTGATGAGAGGGGGCATCCCTGTCTGGTACCAGATTTCAGTGGAAATGCTTCCAACTTTTCCCCATTTAATAGGATGTAACTTTTAGGAATGACTTCTCACATGGAATGAATATATAAATGCTGTGTAAAATTCCTTTATTTTCAAGAAGTTATAATGGGTGCTTGAAAATTGTTATAGAAATTTCAATCACAATTTATAATAAATCCATTTAACTTGGATAAAGGAAATTTTATATTCCAGAGAAAAAATAATTTTTCAAATTGTTTTTCCAACAGAAAGATAGCATTGTGTATACTTGGCCTATTATAATGCCAAAACCTACAAACTATATGGTTCTACATACTATATCCAGACTCCGTTTCAGAAGTGCGAGTTTTAAAAATCCTTCTCTCTTTGACTCTCTCCTCCTTTTTCTTAAATCCAGTTTACATTTTAGTATAGCATTAACCCATAACTACCCCAAATCAAAGTCTTGGTTACATGTCAAATAATGTCATTATATAGAAATCTCATATTGTTCTTTTAGATTTATATTATTGCAATCAATTTTGGTATTAATAAGAGAATATGTTCATGAGAAAGACTTACTGGAATTGGAACAAAACCCCTGCCACTTTGTAATATCTTCTTTTAACCTTGAAATAATTTTACACCTATGGAAGTTTCTCAAATGGTATAGAGTATCCTTTGTACTTTCTCAGACTTTTGCAAAATCATACTATAATTATCCCAACGAAGGAATTAAGATCTATACAACTCTATAATCTTAAGTACAGAATTAATTGGAATTTCTCCAGGTACATCACTAATGTCTTTCACTGCTATCCCAAGGTCCAGTCCGTGAACCCAGTTACTGATTGGCTGCCATACTTATTCTCTTCCAACATGTGATAGTTAATCAATCGTTTCTTGTTCTCTGCAATGACCTTGGAAATTATGGTGAGTATTCATGAATTCTTTGTAGGCTAGCCTTAATTTGGGTTTACCTGGTGTTTTCTCATGATTAGATTAAGGTTATATATTTCTAGGTGGTGTTACCACATACTTATGTGCCTTTCTCATTGAACATGATGTTCAAACTCATGTGTTTTATTACTGGCATTGGTAAACTTCACGATTTGAATAAGTTGGTATCTGCCAGATATCCCACTCTATTGTAACTGTTTTTCCTTATCATCGAATAATGAATCAATGTCTTGGGATAGATACTGTGAGACCGTATAAATATCCTATTTTAGTCTTGTGAGTTTTAGAAACCATCAGTGATTCTTGGATACAAAAATTACGATCATGGTATCTTTATGATTATTTTATATTTCCTTCATTTCTTCTACATTTACCGATTGGAATTTTTTGCAAAGAAGAACTATTTGTATTTATTCAAGATTTTATTTATTTCAGAATGAATTCATAAATTTATATTTTATGCTACAGTTTATATATGATTGATATCATTTTTTGAACTTTGTCTTTAGATGCTTTTTCATGTTGGTTTCTCATTTTGGTAATGTTTCTATTCTTTCTTAAGCATCTCCTTGCATTCTTCTATCACAAGATTTTCCAGGATATCCTATATTTCCCCCTGGTGCAGCCTTAGAACCAACCGCTGCTCCAATGATATTCATTCCTTGTGTTGAGGAATACTATCCTTATCCAACATCTCTGTATTCTGATATATGCATTGTTTCTGAGGTACTATTGCTTTTAGAGTTTCTCAGGGCACAAGACACAGAAATGCATGTGTGTGTACTAAGCTACGTATATACCCTTATCAATATTTATTTCTGCATCCAATTATCTTTGTATATTTTCAAATTAGAATAGTGTATTGCTGTCTCCACTAAATGCAACATTACATGACTCACTCAAGCCTTCCTTCTTTTTTCCTTATTGGACACATCTTTTCTAATAACAGTAAAGAATATAAGCATCAACACTAAGAGGTATTGTCTTATTCAACACTTGCATATACTTAATAAAGCTTCAGAAATCCTATACATCCTCTTCCTGTAAGCAGCCTTAAGTGGTTGGTAAAATGGACCACTATTCACTTGCTCCAGAAAACCCCACAAACATGCAAATCAAGAAGTTCAATCTTCATGTTCACTTTAAGAATACCCAAGAAACTGCCTAAGCCATCAAGTGTACCTGAAAAACCATCAAGTATCTAAAAGATATCACATTAAAAGATCAATGTATGGCATGCCATTATTACAATTGTGGAGTTGGTGGGTATGTCCAGGCCAACCAGTGGTGTTGGACACTGGGTTGGTGGCCCAAAAAGAGCTATATTTCCATTGTGCCTGCTTCAAAACACAGAGAGTAACATGGAACTTAAGGGTGTGGATGTAGATTCTCTGTTTTTTTAACGTATGCAGGTGAACAAGCACCCAAGATGTGCTACCATCCCTAGAGGGCTCTTGATCAGATTAACACATGCATGAGCTCTCATTGCTACATGGAGATGATCTTCACTGAAAAGGAACAAGTTGCTCCTTAACCAGAAGAGGTGGCAAAGAAAAAGTTGAGACCCTAGAAGAAACCAAAGAAACAAAAACTTATGGCTCAGGAATACATTCATCATAAAATAAGTGCAATTAAAACTTAAAAAAAAGAAAGAAAAAGAAAAAGAGTAATCTGATCCTTACTGCAGTGAGAAACAAATTTATACACCTGTAAATCATTTTAATAGAATATTTTATCAAGTGAATGCAATTAATTTACTTCTGGTATTTTACTTCAAAATAATCATAAAGCAAACATTAAATGACTAAAAACATAGTTTCCCCCATTTCTTTATTTTTGCTCTTTTAAAACAATATACTCTGTCTCCAAGCTAGAGTTTAGTGGAAAGCTAATTGTATTCATGTGTGTCGCATAGTCTGATATGAATGCAATCTCTGTCCTGAAGATTTTCTGCACAGAGAGAAAAGAGCCTCAAGTATCTCACCACTTGGTTCTTCTGCACATGCCAACATGGAGACTAAGTTAGAGCAGAAATGCCATTAAGGAAGTCACTGAGCCGTCATGTGTACTCCATGGAGAAGTCTAGACAAATGAATCCACCTTTAGACACACAAGTACAATAGAATGTAGATGTACACAACTTTGTCATTATTAAAATTGTGCTACCATGCAATATTGAAAGACGTTAGTAGCTTAGTGTGATTTGCTAAGGGCAAACTTAGAAACTGTGTGAATAATATATTATGCTTTTATAGAATAAATATAAATGATAGGAATGGAAAAGATTAAATTAAAAATGCAGTGGATGCATATAGCTAAGTATTATATGCTAATATTCATATAGATACCGACATGTTTTATTGACTTTTTGCTCACTTAGCTAGTGAAATTTCAATTTTGCATTAACTTCTAAAAAAGAATACATCACACTTTTTAAGCAACAAAACCTTTAATGAAAATTCCCCATTCTGATGTTGTCTTTGTAAGCACACTTATTTTAGCAACTTATAATACACTGACATGAAAATCTATTTCCAACCACATTTGTATTTAGTTGAAATTGAAACTGGTTTTAATTATTTTATGTATTTGAAAGGCAGAAAGATAGAGACAAATAGAAACAGATGGGCAGAGAGCCAGACAGAGTGCTCCCATCTTTTGGTTCATTTCTCAAAGATCCACAACAGCTAGTAGTGGGCCCAGCCAAAGCCAGGAACCAGAACTCAATATGAGTTTTCCATGGGTGGCAGGGACCTACATTCTTGACCCATCACCTAGTATCTCCCAGAGTGTGCACTAGCAGGAAGCTGGATTTGGGAATGGAGCCAGGACTCAAACCTAGGCACTCAGATATGGATGTAGGAGATGCAAGCAACGTCTTAACTGCTTTGAAATTTACTTACCCTGAAACTGAAGTACTTTCCTAGGCAAGAGTGACAAGAAAACAGATCATAGTGGGATAAAGGCACAGCTTTCCAAACACATGTCAGTTAAGATGACAAGAACTTTTGATTAAATATACAGAAAAAGAGATTGTTCTTTTGCCCTGTTAATATTGTTTTTATACTACAGTATGTATCTCTTAGAAACTTAAAGCAGAGGATAAACACTGAACACTGAACTGTGAGACAAAAATTTTTCTTATGCCCCAATCTTTCAGAAAGAAAATGTTAAAAAATTTCATGAATGAAATTTTAATTCCAATCAAAAACAAGTGGAGAAACATGTAAAGCATTACTTCTCTCAATCAAAACTATGATAATATAAAGTATAACATTAACAATTTTTATTCAAAAGTCTTATGAAAATCATTATTCAGGAATGAGAAATTTTGCAGATAAATAAAACACATATGTTGAAAGCTTTACTTAATATCTACTAAATTGATCTTCTGTATATAAAGATAATTGAAAATGAATCTTGATGTGAATGGAAAGGGAGAGAGAGCGGGAGAGGGGAGGGTTGCGGGTGGGAGGGAAGTTATGGGAGGGAAAAAGCCATTGTAATCCATAAGCTGTACTTTGGAAATTTATATTCATTAAATAAAAGTTAAAAATAAATAAAAAATACTAAAATTTTTTATTAGGGACAGGCATTTCAGGTAGTGATTAAGATGCTGTTTAGGCGGCCGGCGCTGTGGTGTAGCAGGTAAAGCTGCCAACAATAGTGCCGGCATCCCATATGAATGCCAATTTGAGTCCTAGCTGCTCCACTTGCGATCCTGTTAGTGAATGGAAGATTTTCTCTCTCTGCCTCTCCTCTATCTCTGTGTGACTCTTTGATTTTCAAATAAATAAATAAATCTTTAAAAAAAGATACTATTTGAAACATGCACATCCCATATGAAAGTCCCTGGATTCCAATCTGCCTCTGCTCTCCATTCAAGTTCCTGCTAATGTGCACCCTGTGAGGATCACGCCATGACTTCAGTTATTGGGCTCCTGTCACCCATTTGGGAGACACAGGTTGAGTTCCTAGATCCTGGTTTCAGCCTTGTCCTGCCCTGCTGTCGTAGTAATTTGGACAGTGAACCCTGTCTGTAGGTTCTTCCTTGTCTCTCTTTCAAATGAATTAAGTGAAATAAATCAAAATAAAGAAATGAATACAGTGGTTTTTAGAATTTTGACTTGAAATCCTCTTAAAATAGTATTAGTTTACTGATTTTCAAATATAGAACTTAGGTATCATCTTTATGCCTCCTTTATGTCCCAACTTTCGCTTTTAATTGTAACTATATTTGTGATATTATGCAGAAAATATCGATGTGGGAAAACAGAGACATTCATTATCTAAATAAGCCAAAAACCTCTTAAAAATGGATTGTGTGTGTGTGTGTGTGAATTTGAAAGATTTAAACTCCTGAATGATTTAACAATAAACTCTCAAAGCAAAAACACATCTTAAAACATCTTCGCATTTGTCTGAAAGAAGTTTGAAGTGTTTGCTGCATTCTAGATTGAGTCCCTATTGCTGGTTCTTCTACAATATTAGCCATATTTGCTATTTTCCTCTTTATTTAAAGATCAATTGAAATGTATTTCTCTTCTGAGCTGTCAATTTTTTTCCCATTCTGTATTTGTGTTTGTGTATGCACACACATGTATGTAGTGTGTGCGCATGTGTGTGTCTGAGCACTGAAAGTAGGTGTATTAAATCCCTTCTAAGAACCAGCACATACAATGGAACTTTGCAAACACCATCAAGTTTGGAGTTTATGATGTTTAAATCATTCAGAATTGCTGCTTCTTAATTAGGAAACCAAGAATATATTTTTGACATAGTCTATTTCATTTTGATTTGCAGCCAAGCTCATGCCTATGTCTTTTGTCTAATGACCCAGGCAATTTCCCTAAAAGAATAATAGAAAAATTCAGTCTCGAAATAAAATTTCTTCTTTTCTCTGCTTTTTGTGTAAACGAAAGATGACCAGATCTTTCCTATCTGACTGATTCTTCCCCACACAGGTGCCGTAA